TTATGTTAACATGAATAACGTTCGGGGAAATATATGTTACCTGCCAGCTCCACAGCTTCTTTCCTGCTCCTGAAAATCAGTCAGAAATGTTGTCATCACGATAAATGGGCAGAATAGAACTTTCATTCCCTGACCAGGAATCGCACCTGGGCCGTGGTGGTTAACGGGTCTTGAGAGAATGGACCCATGCTTATTATTCCGTCAGTTTCAACAGGTGATAATATCAATTTTAAACCAATGCAAGTGGAGATTGTCATTTTCTGTGCATTTTCAGAGGGGAATGCTCAACTGTGAACTGTGTTTTTTGTAAAATTCGGGTTTGATTGAAATTCTCACTAAGCAACATTGACACAGAATGAAAACAGTGAGTTTGTGTGATCAAGTGGATAAGGAATTGACCGTATGGATTGGGAAGAGCGGCTTGCTGCGTGGTGTGGCTTGGTTGATTAAAGCACCATACCTAGCAAACTGTGTTGAACTCCCAGTAGTGCATGTGCGTTCCTTACTTAATCTTATCTCAAATGTCATGATGTTGACTCAATCTGATAATGTCATAGGAGACAACTGGGCATGATCCATGTGCTTGACCTAAGGTTGTTACTATTCGATACTCCCACTCTTGTCGCCTGAGCTTGTCACATGAGGAAATGGTGTTTCTTGCTGCTTTGTGAACTATAACCATTAACGGTTGAAAGCTATTCAGAGAGAGAGATTTTGATAAATATGCTGATTTGTCCAATAAAGGTGATAATTTTGCATTATGATATAGAAATGCATAACTAACCTGGTTCCGAGGAATGATCCTTTGAAACTTTAACACTGTTTCTCTCCACAGATGATGCCAGTCCTGCCGAGTTCCTCTATCAATTTCCATTTTTGTCTCATATTTCCAGATTCTGCAATTCCTTGTTTTATGTTAACCTGAATGACGTTTGGTTATTTAGCAACACCACAGCTTCTTTTCTGCTCCTGAAGATCAGTCAGGAGTACGGTCATCACCATAAACTTGCAGAATAGAACTCTCATTCCCTGACTGGGAATCAAATGCGGACCGCAGCGGTGAAAGTGCCGAATCCTAACCACTAGACTATTAAGGGGAGGTGCAGCAAGCTCCCGTAACTTTTCGAAATGACACTGCTTTTGACATTTGAATTCCTATCAGTCTGGCTGCAGTTCTGTTTGTCCTTGTCATCGAGCCTACGCAGCGTGCAAAAAGACCCTTCGGCCCATCATGTCAATTCGAGTCCTCAGAAATCCATCTATTCAATCCCAGTTTCCAGCAGTTGACCACAGCCTTGTGTGCTCTGACGTTTCGAGGGCAAATGTCAATGAGATTATCCCCGTAATCAATGAATGGGATTGAAGGTTGAGAGAATAAAACTGCGTTAAAATCCCCTTGAAGAAAGAAGTCATCCTCATGTTAGCCACAGAGGGAGACACACATTCCCTGAGAGTGACAGAGGCCTCAGGATTATACACGCTCCATGTGACTGACGTCCGCTCTCCATCCCTATACACAAGTTTCTCCGACAAAAGGCAGCTTTAGGTGGAACACAAGCAACTTCTCCAGACAATGAAAATCGTTGCCATGAGTGGAATCATGAAATGGGAGGTGAGCTGAAGCAGTCTACCACGCTGCTCATGTGCAACTTCCAATTTCCAAAACCCAGCCTCTTCAGCTCTGGAGAATCTGACAAGAATAGCTTCCACATTGGAAGTAACTGTCAATTTGCAAGTGTAGGAAAGTTGTCAGTTGCACTCGAGCCAGGAAAGATTTGACCCTACAATCTTCGCATCTGAAGTCAGACACGTTACCCATTGCTACGAGTTATATCTTGTTGAACTGTGATGTTAACAGGAACATAAGCAGAAATGGGATTCACAAGGTGAGTAAACAGTAAAGATAATCGCTGTAACTGCTTCACTTCAATGGTCAACACTTTGCAAAGCGGTAAATTTCACTTGCAAAGAAAACACATTTGTCCTCAAGTGTCTGCTTCACTGCCGCCTGGTTCTCTGCTGGAACTTGCCATCGTTTTATTCACACTCACTGCGCAATTTTATGACCACTCCAGTGAAATGTACTTTCATACTTTGAGTCATGGTCTCTTCGAGTCAAGACAGTGAACAAATTCAATGAGACCTCTGGTCATTTCTAGCCAGGGCTCTGGAATCACGTGAGTTTCTTTTTTCATTTGTGTCGTTCTTCAATGCTGCTCAGCGCCTCAAAATAAGCTCCTGTTATCATCAGTCCGTTTTGTACCTTCCTGCAGTACATCTGTTGAACAACATGGATTATCACAACTCCACTTTCTTCACATTGAAACCCAGCACAATAATATGAACTGTTCCAAAGCTTACAGAGGGAAACATTTCTGATGAAGGCGGTTCAAATGTGTAGGAATGAAAGAAGAGCATGTGCAAATCAGGTCGCAAGGGTTACTGTCGGTGTATCTGGTGTTCTAGTAGTTAGGATGCAGAGCTTGCGTTGCCCAGCCCTGGATACAATTCCCAGCCAGGAATTGAAAATTTCTGAATAAAAATGATTTTCTCGTTACACACAGAACGCACACCCTGAATCTGCCAGAATCAGTCCAATGAGAGTTTGCTTCCATCTCGAAGGATAATGACAGCAGGTACACGGGAAAACTACCACGTGCAAGACCCCTCCAAGTATCTCATCATTCTGAGTTCAAAATATACAATTGTTCGTTCAGTTTCGCTATTTCTAAATCCTATAACTCCCTCCCTAATGGCATCATGGCTGTAACTACGTGCCAAGATGCTCAGGAAAGTGACTCATTACTTCCATCTATGGGGTAATTAGGGATGGGCAATGAAATTTCAGACTGAGATTGTGATTTGACAAGAATAACAATTGTTCTTTGACAGTTTTACTTTTCCAAAACAAAGTCTGGGACATTCATTGTGGAGAAACTGAAACAGTCTGATCCCACCCATTGCAAAGACATCCGTGTCACTGGGAACCAGCTCTCCTGAACCGGGGTCATGTGTCTTCGAGCCTTTCCATTTCTTGTCAAGTATCTGATTGCGATGACGCAGAGATTCCATTTGAATTCCCAATCGTTTCAAAGAATTCTAATTATTTCAAAGATAGTGGGATTAAAATCGATTGAGAGATAGTGGGAACTGTCGATGCTGGAGAATCTGAGATAACAAGGTGTAGAGCTGGATGAACATAGCAGGCCAAGCAGCATCAGAGGAGCAGGAAAGCTGACGTTTCGGGTCTGGACCCTTCTTCAGAAATCGGGGAGGGGAAGGGATTCTGAAATAAATAGAGAGAGAGGGGGAGGTGGATGGAAGATGGATAAAGGAACAAATAGGTGGAGAGGAGACAGACAGCTCAAAGAGGCGGGGATGGAGACAGTAAAGGTGAGTGTAGGTGGGGAGTTAGGGTGGGGGTAGATCAGTCCAGGGAAGAAGGACAGGTCAAGGAGGTGGGATGAGGGTGGTAGGTAGGAAGTGGGGGTGGGGCTTGAGGTGGGAGGAGTGGATAGGTGTGAGAAAGGACGGACAGGTTAGGGAGGCAGGGACGAGCTGGGCTGGTTTTGGGATGTGGTCGGGGGAAGGGAGATATTGAAGCTTGTGAAGTCCACATTGATACCATTGGGCTGCAAGGTTCCCAAGCGAAATATGAGGTGTTGTTCCTGCAACCTTCAGGTGGCATTGTTGTGGCACTGGAGCAGGCCCAGGCTGGGCATGTCATCCAAGGAGTGGGAGGGGGATTTGAAGTGGTTCGCAACTGGAAGGTGCAGTCATTTGTCGCAAACTGAGTGTAGGTGTTCCACAAAGCGGTCTCCAAGCCTCCCCTTGGTTTCCCTGATGTAGAGGAGGCCACATCAGGAACAGCGGATACAGTATGCCACATTAGCAGATGTGCAGGTAAACATCTGTTTGATGTGGAAGGTTTTCTTGGGATCTGAGATGGGGGTGAGGGGGCAAGTGTAGGTCAAAACAGGTAATAACACCGAGAGCATCAGAGTCATCGTCCCAGCATCTTAAAGAAGGGAAAGGTGCCTTGACTGGCTCTGTTCAATCAGACAGTTCACCCTTCACTCTCCCCTGAGTCTGGTTCACAAAGCGTTTTGAAAGATTCACGAAGCTGGAGACTGGGTTTTCTCTTTTGTTTCTTTTCCATGTTTCCACCTACTAACAGACAATGTTGACGCTGTTTATAATGTTGAGGGTGGGTAGCGGTGGTGTTAGGCAGTTTGATTGAGCTAGCAGTGAGAAATTTCTACCCTTCATGGGGTCTAGGCCCGAAACGTCAGCCTTCCTGCTCCTATGATGCTGCTTGGCCTGCTGTGTTCATCCAGCTCTACGCCTTGTTATCGCAGGAGTAGGTAATTCGGTATTTCAAGTCTGCTCTACTATACAATATTATCATGCCTGATCAGCGAACTCAGTGCCTTATTCTCGCTTTTGCTCATACTTTTTGACCCCTCAGCCTTCACAACTGCAGCTAACTCTTCTTGAAAACATTCAATGTAATAGCTTCAACTGTTTACTGTGACAGGAAATTCCACCGGCTCACCAATCTCTGGCTGAATAAAATTCTCCTAATCTCACTCTTAATAGCCTACCGCATGCTATTACACGGCGACCTCTGGTTCTGGACACCCCAATCATCACGAACTCTCTTCTGCGATATCCTGTCGACACCTGTCAGAACGATTGACACTTCTCTGAGTTAGCTCCCTCATTTTTTGAAACTCCGGTAAATATAGTCCAAAGCGAACGCGTTTCTGTTCATAAGTCAGTGCTATCACTGGAATGATTGCCTGTAGAAAAGTTGCTGCAGGTTCCAAAGGTCGCCTTCGTGCACGTAATCATTGAATGCAATGGTACGCGGAGAACCCAGAATCCTCCGCGGGGATGAATACGATCTCTCCCCGCTAAGGGGCGGTACTGCGCAAACGCGATATGGCCTCGCCTCCGGAGGTGGACTGTCACTGTGGAGCATGCGCAGTGCGGCTCCCGGAAGGTGAACGGAGCCTCAGTGATAAGAGTCTCGGAAGCTCACAGAGCCTGAGTGAAAGCTGTCTGCACCGGGGGGCAAGCGGCTCGAGCCCGGGGGTGAGGATCACCACGAGCGGCTGATTATTGAAGACTGAAGGTCAGTGAGCTGGAATCCCAAAACCCAATCTCGAACCACAGGCGAATCAGTTTAAAGAGTTGCTTTACATCAGGTTGGCGATTGAATGCGGAAGTTGGTCCCTGGCCTCCTCTGTGGGTCACTTTTTGGTGTTTTATTTTCATCCGGATTGGAGAGCGAAGAGAAGCTGCTGGGTTTAACCCCCAGCGCTGCTGAGACTGACCGATCCAATAACTTCCGATGGGAGGTTGTCACAGGAAGTATTCCTAGATTTGGGGGCTAAACTGAAGGTGCCTGTTCAAAGTTCAGGAATTTGTTTTAGGAAGAGACATTTCGTAAGAACAGGTTTAATTTAATTTACGTCTAATTTTATAACTGGGACATAAGCAAGGATAAAGAGGCCAGCATTCACCGCTGTGCTGCTGTGACAGTTATCCCATAGTGCTGTTCAGCGAGGGATTACAGGATTGTCAAGCACAAACTATAAAGAAACAGCAACATGTGTCCACAGATCCTCACCCCCGGGCTCGAGCCGCTTGCGTGCCTGGGAGGCGAGTTTATAGGTAATGGTTTCCCACACATGCTATCTTAACCTTCTTGGAGGGAGTATCTATCAAAGTCATTCCTGGGATGTAGATGGATGAAACTGTGTCCTTTTGTGGAGGCCCAGGACCGGCAGTGGGTCCCTTCCCTGATGGACATTGGTGAACTAGTCAAGTATTTATGACAATCCAGTAACTTTTCATGGTCACTATTTCTGAGTGTCTTTCACACAAATCGCCAGATTCAATGAACTCCATTTCACAAACTCATGTAACGTCTTAAATAGTTCATTTCTCATACTCACCTTTTCCTGACGTAAATTTGTTTTACAGAGAATCACAAAGACACATTTTTTAGCAAGAACTTCAAACAAACATCCCATCAAGATGTGAGTGAATCAATTCACTGGGACATGAAAGCCATTGGATTTTTAACATTTATCTATTCTGTCTGCGGGAAAAGATTTCCAACATCAGCAAGACACATCCACCCCAAGTAAGTGTTCTTGTGAACTGACTGTTGGCAGGTCTTGAACCAGTTACACAACCTGAATAATATCACACCATTCAAAGTGTGAAACTGTATCCCTGTCCTGTGCATGTGCGAGGAGTCAGCTGATCATTCAATATGGAGAGACATGAAGACGCCTGCACCACAGAGAAACCATGGAAATGTGCGGACTGTGGGAAGGGATTCAAATACCCATACCTGCTGGAAATGCATCGACGCAGTCACACTGGGGAGAGGCCGTACACCTGCTCTGTTTGTGGGAAGGGATGCAATTGGTTATCTGACCTTCTTAAGCATGAACGCATTCACACTGGAGAGAAGCCGTTCATCTGTCCCAATTGTGGGAAGGGATTCAGTGACTCATCTAATCTGCGAAAACACGAACAAATTCACACTGGGGAGAGGCCATTCATCTGCTCTGAGTGTGGGAAGGGGTACATTACATCACCCCACCTGCTGAAACACCAGCGAGTTCACACTGGGGAGAAGCCATTCATTTGCTCTGAGTGTGGGAAGGGATTCAGTGACTCATCCAACCTGCTGACACACCAGCGAGTTCACACTGGGGAGAGGCCATTCATCTGCCCTGAGTGTGGAAAGGGATTCACTACATCACCCCACCTACTGAAACACCAGCGAATTCACACTGGGGAGAGGCCATTCATCTGCTCCAAATGTGGGAAGAGTTTCACTCAGTCGTCTCATTTACTGACACACCAGCAAGTTCACACTGGGGAGAGGCCATTCCCCTGCTTTGAGTGTGGCAAGGCATTCTCCCGATTATCCCGGCTTCAAGCACACCAACTGGTTCACAGTGATGAGGGATCTTCCAAATGTTCACACTGTGAGAAGAGCTTTAAAAGCAGACATGAAGTGTTGACACACCAATGCATTCAACTGGGAAGAGGCCATTCCCCTGCTCTGTGTGTGGGAAATGATTTGTCCATTGAAAAAACCTTCTGAGACACCAACGAATACACACTGGTGAGAAGTTGTTACCTGCTCCCTCTGTGAGAATGGATTTACTCAGTCTTCCCAACTGTTGAGACACCAGTAACTTAACAAGTGACTGCACGGCAGGTATCTGTTGCTGTTGTTCTCAAAATCTTTCCTCACATTACCTCTGCATCTCTTTCCCACAACTTTAATTCTAGCTCCCCTAATCCTTGCACCATTACAGAATGGAAACAATATTTTACTTCTCAACTTCAACTAAACTAAACCTGTCAAAAACTCATGCACTTGAAACATGGTGACTGGGACTAGACTCTAGTTTTGTCCTAAAGAGAGCTTTTTAAAAGGTCAGCAACTTTTTTCTGATTTTCTCCTCGCTATCTCAATTTATAAATTGCGAGGTTCCATTTGTTTTTCTCCCTTCTCTCTCAATGTGTCCTGCCATTTGTATAGTGTCCCTACCTCTCAGCCAGAAGATCCGGTTTCAAGTCCCACCTGCTGTGAAGCTGTGTAATGCGTTTTGATTCTTATTTCTTAATTGGTGATTGTACCAAGTTCATTGGGGTCTGTTTCTGCTGAGGGTAATGAAGGTAATGATTGTTCCATTCCCCTGAAGGACTGGGTGATCGATGTGATGGGGAATTGGTCTATCCCCCTGGAGGACTGGGTGACTGATGTGATAGGAAAGTGATTCAACCCCCTGGAGAACTGGGTGATTGATGCATGGGGAAATTGATCCATCCACCTGAAGGATCAGGGAGCAGATGCAGTGGAACAGGGAAATACACGATGCTTGTGATGTGGCATGTGGAGATCAGCAGATGGTGGCATTGTGTCATGTTAAACACCAGAGGGACAGAGAGGGAGACAGACAGACAGACATTGTGACTCATTGATCACAGTTTGAATGAATGAAATAAAGTGCATCCCATTGCAGACAAAGCTGAGAACAGAGAGGCACAAAACCAGATTCAGAGATGCTCAGACAGACACACACTTGGACAGGCAAACAGCCTATTGCAGACAGAGCTGGTCACGCAGTGTGTCTGACTGCAGACAGAGCTGGTTGCACTGGCACAGATGAACAGAGTCAGAAACATACATATACAAAGAGAGAGACACACACAGAAACACACATGGTCACAGACACAGACTTTCACAAACACATCCATACAGAGATACACATGGGCACATAACGTCCCTCAGTATATCATCAGGGTTGATCTGTTTAATAAACTCTGGTTCATTTGTACAATAAACTCATGCCAATTTGTACAATAAATCTGTGTAATCACTGTTCCTTTGTAAAATGGATTGATTCATTTGAGGAATTCTCAGAAACTCATTAAAAATAAACGTGCTGACTTGTTCATTTCAGTCCCACTTACACCTTGTGTTGATGTGTGTGAAAATCCTGTATTCCCTTGTGGAATAAATTTGTGTCCATTGGTTGCACAAGCCTGTGTTCCATTGTCTAACTGAAGCTGTGTTGTGGCTGGTGCTGTTTTGAAACTGCATCCTTGTTTCCATGTGAATTTTAAATCTGGGGCCAGTGTGTGAGGTGAAGAGGTGGGGGAGGAAAAGGACAGACAGAGCCAGTCTGCACTAAACTGTTGAGCTGATGCTTTCTCTCACATCTCCTCCCTCCCCTGTCTAATCTCACAAAGATGCTTCTTGGAATGCTCCATACTTGGGGGTGGATATGCTCCAGGAAGATGACTGGATTGCTGGGTTTGGGCAGAGAGAAGTCTTCGAATGACAGACCTGAAGGTATCTAAAGTAGACCCTGGCAGCCATAGTTCCTTTTGCCATGTCGACAGAACAGGAGGTGAGTATCAGAGGGTTTTTGTCTGTCTCTGTGTCAGAGATTGTGGGTACTTGGAATCTTGGATTCTTTAACCTCCCCCAACCCTCCCTTGAACCAGTCAGGCTGAAATAAACCCCAAGAGCAGGGTCTGTCCCTCATGGGAGAGAGGGAGTGTGAGAAACTATTGAGAGAGCTGGGACCCACTGGAACAGTGAGTATCCCCTCTTCAGTCTCTCTATGTCTTTCCTTAACTCCTGTCTGTCTGTCTCTCTGACATTTTTGACTTTTCTTGCTCTCTCTCTGTGTGTCTGTCTTTCTCCCTCTCTCTGCCTCTTTTTCAGTCTGTGTGTCTCAGTCTCTCTGTCTTTCTCTCTCTCTTTGGGTCCCTGTGCCCTCTCTTGATCTGTCTCTCTCCTTCTCCCTTCAACTCTGTCTCTTTACTCCTCTCTCTATTTATCTCTATCTGTCTCAATTCTTTTGCACTTTTATTTTTTTCTTTTTTTTTCCCATTTCATGTTTCCCTATCTCTTTCTCCCCGTCTCTTCCAACTGCCAGCCTGTTTTTCTTTGTTTCTTTCTCTTTTGTGTCTGACTTTTACCTCATCTTTCTGCCTTGGTCTCTGTTCATTCCTACTTTTATTCTTCTTTGCCTTCTCTTCCCCCCACGCCCCATTTCTTTTCTTCCCACCTCCCTTTCCCTCGAGCTCTTTATCTCCCCACTGCTATTTTCCCCATCTCTATTTTCTCCCTATTCTTTTCCATTTTTATCACATCTGTTTTTTTAATGCTGTTTCTTTTTCTGCCCTGTTCTTTTATCCTGTTTATAAGCCCCTCCCTTCATTTTGTTCACTGTGTCTTTGTTTTCCACTGTATCTTTTTATTCCCCTGTGTCTTCCCCCCAGCCCATCTCTCTGCAGACCCTTGACGGGTTTTGCAGTCCCTCCATAAATTATCCCCCTGAAAATTCTGCAGTCCTCCAAGTTTTGTGTTCTCATCAAAATTTGCAGACACCCCCCAGTATTGCACCCTCTCTCAAATTTGGTACCTCTCCCAAGTTTGTGTGGCTCTGTCCAATTTTGCGTAGCTCTGTCCAATTTTGCAAACTCCCAAATCTTGCTATTATATACCCACCGAGTTCTGCAGTCCCTGCAATGTTGTGCCCCCTCTCCATTTCTGCAGTCACCCCAAATATTTTGCCTTCCCTCAAAATTTGAATGGCCCTCAAATTTTGAATCCCCTCCATTGTGCACCCCACAAATTTTGCCCTTCCCCAAATATTGTGCAGAACTCACCACATTCTCAAACATCCCCAATTATACAACCACACACCCCTGATTTTAAACACCATTTTTCTGTGGCTTGCCCCAAATTTTGTACACTCGCAAGTTTTGTGGCCCTGCCAAAATTTGCACCTCCAAATATTCCTCCCCCAAGATATTGCACTGACCCATCTGCAGCAAACCCACCAAATTATGCATCCCTCTGCAATGTTCCCCTCTCTGATTTTGGGCCTCACATTTGTGACACTTGTGGCCCATCCTCGAATTAAGGTCCTCCCCACAAATGTAGCATCTGCCCCAATTAGGCAGCTCTGACAATTTTGTGCCCCCCTACAATTTGCAGTCCCCTACAAATATTCTGCAAGCCCTCATGTTCACCCTATTTTCATGCCCCAAATTTTGCACCTCCCCAATTATTGTATCCCCTCAGATTTCACAGCCTCAATAATATTTGCCCCCACACCCCAATTGTTGACCACTCTCAAGTATTGTCCCTTCCTCATTTTTGTACACTCACTTCATGTTTTGAGCCACATTCCATCATTTGCACACGCACCCCATTTTTTGCCCTCTCCAATTACATGCCCCCAAATTTTGGAATTCTGTACCCCAGAGGGATGTGGAAGCTTAGTCATTGAGCATGTGTAAAGTAAAGGTTGAAGTGATGTCAGTGATTGTATTGAATGGTACAGCCAGCTTGATGGGTCAAGTGGCTATACCTTGCTCTAAATACAATGTTTAAGATTTGTTAAGATTATCAGATGATGCTTTGTTTTACAAACCTCCCAGCTTCAAGAAGGGAATCTCCTAAATGTCCATTGATTTCTGTCTGACCCAGCTAGTTCTTAGCTATGAGCTGGTTTATCTCTTCCTGATTACACACTAGAAAACTTCTGAATGCTGTGAGAAAGATCCCTCCTTATTATTCTAAACACAGTGGATACAATCCTAACCGATTCAATCTCCCCTCATACGGCAATTCTGCCATCCCAGGATACAATTTAGTAAACCTTCACTGCACTCCCTTCATAGCATGACCATACCTCCCCCAAATAAGAATACCAAAACTGCACAAAATAGTCCATTTTTATAAATGACCTGGATGAGGGCGTAGAAGGATGGGTTAGTAAATTTGCGGATGACACCAAAGTCGGTGGAGTTGTGGATAGTGCAGAAGGATGTTGCAGGTTACAGAGGGACATAGATAAGCTGCAGAGCTGGGCTGAGAGGTGGCAAATGAAGTTTAATGTGGAAAAGTGTAAGGTGATTCACTTTGGAAGGAGTAACAGGAATACAGAGTACTGGGCTAATGGTAAGATTCTTGGTAGTGTGGATGAGCAGAAAGATCTCGGTGTCCATGTGCATAGATCACTGAAAGTTGCCACCCAGGTTGATAGCGTTATTAAGAAGGCATACAGTATGTTAGGTTTTATTGGTAGAGGAATTGAGTTTCAGAGCCATGAGGTCATGTTGCAGCTGTACAAAACTCTGGTGCGGCCGCACTTGGAGTATTGCGTACAGTTCTGGTCACCGCATTATAGGAAGGATGTGGAAGCATTGGAAAGGGTGCAGAGGAGATTTACCAGGATGTTGCCTGGTATGGAGGGAAGGTCTTATGAGGAAAGGCTGAGGGACTTGAGGCTGTTTTCGTTAGAGAGAAGAAGGTTAAGAGGTGACTTAATAGAGACATACAAGATGATCAGAGGATTAGATAGGGTGGACAGTGGGAGCCTTTTTCCTCGGATGGTGATGGCTAGCACGAGGGGACATAGCTTTAAATTGACGGGTGATAGATATAGGACAGATGTCAGAAGTAGGTTCTTTACTCAGAGAGTAGTAAGGGCATGGAATGCCCTGCCTGCAAAAGTAGTAGGCTCGCCAACTTTAAGGGCATTTAAATGGTCATTGGATAAACGTATGGATGATAATGGAATAGTTTAGGTTAGATGGACTTCAGATTGGTTTCACAGGTCAGCGCAACATCAAGGGCCAAAGGGCCTGTACTGCGCTGTAATGTTCTATGTTCTATGTAGATGTGCCCTCACCAATGCTTTGCATAATTGCAGCAAGACATCCTTGTTCCTGTACTTGAATCCTCTCACTATGAAGGCCAACATACAGTTTGCCTTCTTTACTACATGCTGCATCTGCACACTTACTTTCAGTGGCTGGTGCACAAGGACACCCAAGTCTTGGTGAACATTCCCCTCTCTCAATTTATAGCCATTCAAATAACCTGCCTTTCTAGTTTTGCTACCAAAGTGGATAACCTCATCCACACTACCTGCATCTTCTGTGCATTTGCCCACTCACTTAGACTGTCCAAATAATATTACATGCTCCTCACGGCGCAACCGTCCAGCCAGCTTTGTGTCATCTGCAAATTTTCAATTATTATATTTAGGTCTCTCATCTAAATCATTGACATATATTGTACATAGCTGGGGTCCTCGTACCAATTCCTATAGTTCCCCAGTCATTAATCATTACAAAACATTGATCATTAGTTTTTTTTTTTCCCTGACTGACCATACAGAATAGTAGATATTAGCCTGATGTTCATAACTGACTGTGCAAACATTCAATTAGCAGTTGTGAACCACCAAATTACATAAGCACAGAGGCAGGCCATTCAGCCTATTGTGTCCGTGTGATTCTCTAAATGAGCTTTCTGGCCTTGTGCCATTGTCCAGACTTTTCCTTGTAATCTTGTACATTATTCAATGATAAACAATCATCTGATGCCCTTGATTGAATCTGCCTAAACCACCGTTCCATGCAATATATTCCAGATCAAATTACTAGCTGTGTGAAGTTTCTTTCTCACATCATATTTCCTTCTTTTGCAATTTATGTGAAATGTGCACTCTTATTCTCAATGCTTTTACCAATGTGAACAGTTTCTCACTATCTACTCTGCATCGACCACTCATGAC